TTAGTAGGGTTTATATTTTTAAATTAAGGCCCCCAGATTTCACGATCATCCAATTTCACCATCATCCGCGACAATTAATAATACCTTTATACATTCACTTTCATTATGTAAACAAGTTAGTCCATGTGAATTTGACTTTACATTATTCTATCTGTCCATTTCTTCAAAGCCTAACTGAGCATTGGATATTCATGGAAACTAATTAGAAAATTGTCAACTTCAGATTTCATGTAAAACCTAAAATTAACTTATTATATAGTTTATTTTTTTTTGTAAAGCTAACGAATGGATGAATTGGTTGAAAAAAAATCAACAAGATTTTAACAGAATTAATATTTGATATTACAGGTCATTAAATAAGTAGTCTGAGATAAGTTTGTTTACATTAATTTACTAGTATGTTCATTAACTCAGAATATGAATAATGTTTTAATTACTTACATAGTAAAAAACAGCAAAGAATTCATTGTAAAAAGCTATTGAAAGAAAGTAATATTTTATTGCCAAATTGATTCTCCAAAATTTATTAGAATTACTATAAAATGAGATGTAAACGAAATCGGTATACAAAATCAAGCCTATAACTGATAAATATGATAAATATGATAAATATGACGTGAATGATCGATCCATTAGCATACGAACTTATATACCCATGCCGGAAACACTACTCATACGAAAATTACATAATAAATTAACTTCTATATCACAAAAGACAAATTTGAGAACTAATCAAATATAAAATGTACGTTAAAGAATTGAAAATTCAAACTCTTAGCCTATCAGGTTGGAATATTATATGTATGATCCCAATATAAATTTATTACATTAAGCTCCAATTTAATCAATAAGCATAATTTCCTCTGTCGTATTTTCAGTTCCAAAATTATGATGGTAGTTTTTATTGCTCAATAATATCTAGGAATTGGAACCGTTTAACCGCATAAAAAAATTTTATAATGCCGGGCCAAATATGTTGATCATGGGCCAGGACAATTTTAATGCCGGCTAAATTAAACGGTTAATACAGTTAAGCGATTAAACGATTAAGAAATTTATAAGCGGTCCCAATCATTAATAATATCCGACATTTCCAATTCAGAAAATTTGCTATCTATAAAAAAAAAAAAAAGATTAAATAATACTGTATTATAGAATATTACAATATTAAAAAAAAAAATTGATAGATACCTTGATGGTTAAATGAAATAAAGCTACTTTTATAATGTGAATCATTATACTTCTGTATATCTTCATTTTTTATAAAGCTACTTTTATAATGTGAATCAATATATACTTTCATATCTTCATTTTTTATGTCTTGCAGTTTTTTATCAGATTCCGATAATTCCGATAAAATATTTTCACTATTCTGCCATTCTTCAAAAATATCACAAATTTCTTTTGCTGTTGGCCGTTTTTCTGATTCTATGTCCCAACATTTCTTCATTAAATCAGCATAACATATTGCTGTATTTTCATAAATATGTGGTCGTAAACCATTACATACTTGTATTTGAAATAGTAATTTTGATTTTTGCTCAAAAGGCACAGGTTTGCCACTTAAAATTTCCCACATGATTATGCCAAATGAATAAATATCAGACTTTGTAGTATATGGCCGCTTATTCAAAATTTCCGGAGCAATGTATGGTAAAATTCCATAAATTCCGTCGGATTTTGATTTTAAAGCAATATTAGTTGTTATTGAAAGTCCTAAATCTGCAATATGCGCCTTTTAAACTATATAATAGTACATTTCCACTATGTAAATCCCGATTAATAAGGTCGTGAGAATGAATTATCAGAAGATCTGATGCAATACATTGTAGCAAATTTAATTTACCTTTCCAATCCATTTGTGCTATAGCGTGTAGATTCTTGCGCAAACTACCTTTTGGAGCATATTCCATGACAAGAATATAAGCCCAATATCACAATATGCTTTTAACTAATTATTAAAAAAGGATTATAAGCTCGAATTATTAGCACAGTTTGATAAAATATTTAATAAAGATTACCTCTTTTATAAATTCTTCGTGAAGATTATTTGATTCGTTGAGAAGTTTAATCGCCACAAATCTATCGTAATTTTGACGTTTATCATACCATCTAGCACGGTATACAGTTGCAAATCCACCTTTACCTATCTCTTCAATTTCTTTAAATTCTTCATAAGGAATCCATGATAATGTATATTTATTTTCGGGCAATGTTATTTTCAAAGTATCACCAATTTCAGAATTATGCATCCATTCATTTGTAGCTATTATTTATTTATAAAATTTTGTCGACTTTAGATTATAAATAAATTTAATAACAATATAATTTATAATAATTAATTATAGTAATACCTAATCCTAAATCCTTTTCTCTAATCGATGATTTAAATATATGAATTTGCAATATATGTATACAATGTAAATTAGTATCCTGACAACGTAGCACGACCATAGACTTATCAATCAAATATCAAGATCAGGTGTAATTTCTTATAAAATCATCTTTTTCAAAGATTTTTAAAACTTTAATTCGACCTAAATTTGGTTGTTGTTTTTTTTTATTCTAATTACACCTGATCATATTATAATTTCAATTAAAAATTTACCTTTGATACCAGTATTTGGCTTTATGTAAATCTCTTGTTATTCCAACTCCATTTCTATAACATTCTGCAACTGACGACATTCCATTAGAGACACCCATCTCTGCAGATTTTTGAAAATAAATGAATGCCTTATGTTCATCCTTTTCAACTCCAATTCCATTTCGATAACAAAATCCAACATTATGTGTTCCAATAGCGTCACCCATCTCTACAGACTTTTGATAATAAATAAATGCCTTATGTTTATCCTTTTCAACTCCAATTCCACTTTGATAACAACCTCCAACATTAAATGTTCCAATAGCATCACCCATCTCTGCAGATTTTTGATAAAAAATAAATGCCTCATGCTCATCCTTTTCAACTCCAATTCCATGAATATAACAATTTCCAACATTATATGTTCCATTAGCATCACCCATCTCAGCAGATTTTTGAAAATAAATGAATGCCTTATGCACATCCTTTTCAACTCCAATTCCTTAAGTATAGCAACGTCCTACATGATTTGTTCCATCTGCGTGCCCCATCTCAGCAGATTTTTGATAATAAATAAATGCCTTATGCTCATCCTTTTCGACTCCAATTCCATTAAGATAACACCTTCCAACGTGATATGTCCCACTGGCGTCACCCATCTTTGCAGATTTTTGATAATAAATAAATGTTTTATACTCGTCCTTTTCAACTCCAATTCCATTCTCATAACAACATCCAACATTAAATGTTCCTTTAGTATGCCACATCTCTGCGGATTTTTGATAATAAATTAATGCCTTATGTTCATCCTTTTCAACTCCAACTCCTTTGTAATAACAGTTACCAAGTGCAAATATTCCACTAGCGTTGCCCATCTCTGCAGATTTTTGATAATAAATGAATGCCCTATGGCCCATCCTTTTCAACTCCAATTCCTCCGTCATAACAACATCCAACATTAAATGTTCCGTCAACATGCCCCATATTAGCAGATTTTTGATAACAATTGAATGCCATGAATTCGCTCTTTTCAATTCCATTTCCATAAAGGTAGCAATTTCCAAGAAAATAAACCATCATAATTTTGATAATTAAAGAAGACTCTAAATTTATCATTTCTAGTTCCGTTTGTACGATTTTTATATTCTAATAACATATAAGATTCTTTAACATAATGCATTATGCTTGAATCTCTCTTTGATAAAATAATGCAATTGAATTATTCGGTTCAATTTTTAATGCTTTATTCAAAAATATAAGGCATTTTCAAGTTCTCCTTGAGTAATATAAATTTTTCCATAAAAAATTAATGCAATTGTGTTATTTGGTTGAATTTTCAATGCTTTTTTAAAATTTTTAAGCGCACACTTAAATTGTCCACGCAAAAAATGACCTTCTCCACAAAGCATGCATGCAATTACATTATTAAATTTAATTATTTCTGAGTTATCTATTACGGCATTTTTCATTGCTTCAAAGTCAAGTTCATTATAAGCACTTATAAGATATCTCAATGCAGTCGAGTTATTCTTTTCAAATTCTATTGCTTTGCTAAATTCTTCAAAAGCCTGATTATATTTTTTTAGACCGTAATAAGCTTTTCCACGAAGAATTAAAGTGGCTACTAAATCTGGTTCGATATTTAATGCATTATTTGAATCAGAAAGAGCCTTATCGTATTCTTCTAGTTTAAGATGGACTTTTCCACGATAAAATAATGCTGTTGAGTTCTTCGGCTCTATATCTAATGCTTCGCTTAAATACGATAATGCATCTTCAAAATATTCTAATTTTAAATAACATTTACCCAGAAGACCTAACGCTATCACATTTTTTGGTTCAATTTCTAATATTTTGCCTAACTTTTGGAGTGCTTTATAGTAATGTTTTAATCTTAAGTAAGCTTCTCCACGAAGTATTAGCATGTCAACATTATTTGGTTCAATATTTAATGCCTCATTAAAATCAAGAAATGCTTCGTGGTAGCAACCAATATGGAAGTAGGATTCTCCACGCAGAAAAATTGTAGTAGCATTATTCTGATCCATTTCTAAAATTTCATTTAAATCTTTAAGGGAATTATAATACTGATCTAGGTAAAAATAAGCACCTCCACGAAGAGCTAATATTGTTGAGTTTTTTGGTTGAAGTTTTAAGGCCTCGCTCAAATGTATTATTGCGTTTTTGTACTCTTCTAAATTAAACCATATTTTTTCCTGAAGGATCAGTGTATCAACATGATATGGTTGAATTTCTAATAAGTTTTCAGAGCCATTATACTGTTCTAATACTTTCTTAAGATCTATAAAAGCTTTATTATAATGGCCAAGTTCAAAATAAGCTTTGCCCCGATAATATAATGTAGTAATATCAAATGAATTGACGCATAATGCTTTATTAAAATTTAAAAACGCTTTATAATATTGTTCTAACAAGTAATAAAGCATGCCACAAAAGATAATGCGACTGAATTATATGGTTCAATTTCTAGCACTCTACAAAACTTTGATAAAGACTTATCGTATTGCTCTAATGAATAGTATGTTTCCCCATGAAACAACAATAATTTTTCTAGTTTCTTTGGAATGCAATAACACATCTGTATTATTCTGTTTGGTTTCTGATGATTTGTTAAAATCAAGGAAATCTTCGTTAATATTTTGAATTTTCACATAAACTTGTCTACGAAGAACCAAAGCATACGAATCATTCGGATTAATTTCTAATGCTTTACTGAAATCTATAAGAGCCGTATTATATTGACCTAACTTAAAATAGGTCTCTCCACGGAGAATAAAAGCTTCTATATTTGTTGGACCAATATTTAATATCGTATTTGAATCTGAAATCGCATTATCAAGTATTCTTAGTTTTAAATACGTTCTTCCACGAAAGATTAATGCAGTTAAATTACTTGGAGAATTTTCCAAAATATAGTCAAATTGTGCAAGAGAATCAGCATAGAGACCTAAATTAAAATAGCTAACTCCGAAAGTAATTTCATCTTCATGTTTACTATCAACACCATAAATATTAACAATGTATTGTTCATATGTCATGCTTTTGTATAGACAAACAATGTCGATAAATATTATAAATTACGGGTACAGAAATATAATCAATATGCTTTGACGAATTGGATTTTTTCACTTTCTTTTTTTTTGAATAATTAATCACGTACAATTTTGAAAACAATGGCTCATATGAAACAAACTTTTATTTAATAAACCTCGAGTCTAAAAAAAAAAATGAAACGACCAAAAATTGATATTTGTTTTTATTTGATATTAAAAATGAATTCTCTGATTATTCCGTTATGCTTGTTATTCCTAGGCATGATATCCCTCATATACGTACGTACAACTGGTTAAAAACGGCTAGAGATGTGCCGTATACATTGTTGCATGCTACATAATGTTGCATAATGCGATGCATGTTGCCTAAGTTATTACTGTATGTAATTTTGATCCACGTCATTCATCAACTATCACTTTATAGACACTTGTTCCTATCAAATTCTTGGCCTGTGAAATTCAATAAAAAGGTAATCTACCAGGTCTGTTTCCACTATATAAATCCAATATTTTATGTTTTAAAATCCAATAACCTCTCAGTAATAATATAAAGTCAGTTCACTGCCAGTATATTATACAGAATTTCATAATGTATCATGCAACATAATGTGCATTATGTAATGCAAAGTCAAAAAAAATCCTGCAATCACACATCTCTACGTGTGAATGTATTTGTTTTAACAGTTCTCGTTTAGTCTCGAAAAATTGCTTTTTGATTCATTATCATCTTCCTGATCTATTTCATCCAACCAACGAATGATTAGTATTAGTTATTTCCTGGGGGATAGAAATTATTACAGAGGTTACCGATGATTATAGTACATGGATGGCCCGAAGGACCATCCACGTACTATGATCACGATAACCTCTGTTATAATTTCCCCATAGGAAATAAATAAATAATCCCCAGGAGCGTGTCACTAGATGCTAATCGGACTACCTTACAATTTTTTTATACGTGTTCCATATTTATATTCGCATTGTGCTTTACTAACGTTTGAGTTTAGCTTTATTATTTTTTTTTATTTACATCATTTTTATTGTTTTACTCTTTTTATCGCCTTTGCATTTTACTTCTACGTTTAACTTTTTTCAACCACTTATTTTCACTTTGCTCTTATCGTGCCTTTTTTTAGCTTCATTTTACCGTGTATATTTACTTTGGCTTTTAAAGTTCTTTAGATAAAACGTGAAAAATACAAAAAAGAAAATGATTTAAATAAAAATTAAGCGTTAAAAATTAGAGTTTCCCGATGATCAATATGAGACCGTGGGAAGATTCCCGGTCACAATATGATTATTATAAATATGGTTAATGACGTGTAAAAAATAATAATGAAGCTAGTCATGAGTGACACTTAGTGTGATAAGGGATTATTTCAACAATTTCAATTGCAGTAGCAGGTAGATTAGATCTTTTATCAAATTATTACTATATTGATCCATCGATCAATCTCAGGAGTTATATAGGCAGAATTCCACAAAATTTGCTTCCTTTACTTTTTTAGAAAGTCCAATATCAGTGATATATGCAGTTTACAACTTAGGCTGCAAGACATGTGAATGAGTTTTTGAGAAATCGATTCAAAGATCCAAAGCTATATAGTACAGAATATTTAATTTATTTTTCTATTCTAATTGTGACCCTATAAATAAAATTTGTTCAATTATTGTAAGCATTGTCTGAATCTGAATAAATGTTCGAATGGAGTCGATTTTCCGAGCGCAAGTATGATATTGTACAATTTATATTCTGTGTTGTAAAAAAGGAAATTTTTGGTCGACAAGATTAGATATAGACATTGTACAAAATCAGTAGTTATGTTCAGAAATAGACTCCGTTCCGAACATTTATCTGAACAAAAACAGAATAACTTTAGAAAATTTTTTATAGGGTTGACACTCATAAACAATTCAAAACGAAAGATTTTAGTGACCATAATTCTTCAGTTCTTGGATGAATTCTTGTTCATTTTTATTTAAATCACGAATACTTTAAGTGCAACATATATTATTAATTGTATCTAATCGACGTGTACAGTGTTTATTTTTCACAGTGTGCGCATGTGCGCGCTCTGTGCGGGTCCAATCAAATTTTGAAATAAAGCAATTTGATTGGATCCACACAGTGCGCGCACACGCGTACACTGTGAAAAATAAACACTGGACGTGTAGAACATAGGAGTTTTCAAGTTCTAAGCAATAGAGAACCCATTATAATCAATTAATGCAATTTAAATCTCTCATCATCTAATATTCTCAAGTTCAGGATCGATATGATCTGGTGATTTAACGTTAACGACATTAACATTTTGCTTGATGTTTATTTTCGGGCAATTTCTGGTTATTTCTAAGTTTGTTTAAACTTATGAATTTCGATTTGTTGATTCATGCTTTGGTGTATCCTCGTGAGCCCACATTTCCCATTTTATTCAAAAAGGAAATTGTTTATTCCAATATTTTTATAGTACTTGTACTAGTGCTTGAGCATTACGTTGTTACTATCGGGTTGGGAGAGCGTCAGATAAGATAGTGCCGTTATAGGTCAGGATAGTGAACTAACTATTAAATTCTTGGGTGAAATGGCGTTCTAGGACGGTGTGGGAAACTACTCTAGTGTTTGTTGGGGAAAGCGAATATCGTTGCCGATATGAAATGATGGGTATCTATATAGAGCGGAATGGGGAACTGTGGGGTATTATTTAAGGAATGCACGTGATGAAATTAGGATGTGCCGATATCTAAATCAATCGTGATTGTCTAATTGTTGACAATCCGAAACAGGATTGATTTAAGGCGGTAGACTTTAGATAATAAAGTCAAAAGAACTACAGTAAAAAACGAAATTTTAATAAACACGCATTAAGATAGCTTAATGCTAACAAGAAGCATGTGCTAACAATGCATGGTTTTTATATAATAACTAGGCTTCAATCAGCCGTTCAGTGAAAAAGATAAAGAAAATTGTAGAGAGCAAAGTCTGTAGAAACTTTTATTGAGTGAAAACATTGATTCTTTTTATACATATTTTCTTAACATAAATAATTTAGAATATTTAATTGACGGATGAATTTTATTCCCATCTACATTTTTGAATATTACCTTCAACACCAATAATCCCCTTTCAGGAGGAGCACCAGTGTAATAATTAAATGCTTTTTCTTCATCTTTGGATGAATGCGAACTCGACATGCGTGAATCAGACAATTCTTATGTCTGATTACACATAAGCATGGGTAACCTTCTTGATTAAAGTTATTAAAATTATCATACATTGATCATTTGTAAAATCATTGGTCTTTCTTCACGAAACCATTCTATGCAGTTTCAGAAATTCCTTTTGCCGCCAGGGGTCACAGATATACTTTTATGCAGGGTCGAACTAATAATTGATGATGATTATGTCTTCAATGTTGGATGGCCTTAGCACAGCAGACTTTGGGTTACATTATACAGATTTTGCCAAAGAGGGAAATAACTATACTAATATATAAATACTACAAATAAGAAAATAGAGATAACTAATCTATGAAAGTACAAATAAAGAAATAATGGATAGCACAACTGCCATTCTAAATAAAGAAAAAAAATATCATGTGAGAAGCGTAACAGCGTATCAGTTCTAGCACTGTTCCCCAAAAGTTTTTTTATCGAATTCGTGTTTTATTTATAGAGAAAAAAATATAGGGCTTCAAATTTTTTTAAGTAAATATTTGCAAATTATTTGCTTTGTTCATTTTTGACAAATAATGGCAATGATCCATATCACATGAGTTTACTGCATTTGATTTTTCATTTCTTATACTGACTGAAATCAAAACGTGGTTATTTAATGTGGTGCCATTTTTGTAAATTGAAGTTCACAGTCTTCTATATAATAATACTGAACTCAATTAACTATTGTATGTTATGCATTCTACATATCTTTGATATTATTAACTTAAGTTTAGATAATACTAATAACATGCATTGGTAAACCACATGCTGTGTGTCAAAAGAATAATAATAGATATGGTAGCAGAACTTTTACAATAGAAATCACTAAATAGTGAGTAAGTTCTGCATCAATACTTACAATGGAAATTATGATAATTCCAATATAAACTAACCACCTTAACAACCTATTATAGTTATCAAAATTGTGAGTAAATTTTTAACAGTATTTTTTTAATACAAACTAACTAACATTAATCACATATCATAATCATTAGTATAGCAAGTTTTATAACAGAATAATTCACAGTAACTTATGATAGAAACTACAATACTTCTAATACAAAACTATCTCGGACTTAAATATCACTGAATATTGAGTAAGTTCTGTAATAGATTTTTTATAGCAACTCGCAATGGAAATACAATAATTTCTATAC